TCAAATCATATTCATCAAACAATCAAAGATCTAATGAATTCTACTTTTGATGCTTCTTATTTTTTCTTGAAATCTGTTAAAATCAATGATAAAAGATTTTCCACCATCACCTATGGAGAAGATAAATTGTGTTGTGACTCTATTGTTGAACATGGTAAAAGTTTCTTCAGAATAGAATTCATATTTCAATCTAACTCAACAATATTTTCTCTCTGTGATAGAATTGAAACAATTCCCATCAAAGTGAATTTCAAAGGAACTTGTGGATCTTATGTCTTTAACTTGCCTCAGTTTCATGAAGTGAAATCTATTGGAAAAGAAAAAAAGATCATCAAGCTAACAGAAAAGACCAAGAAATGTTTCATAATCAAAAGTACTAAGTTCCATTTCAAGTACCACCGAGATCTACTTGTCGAGCCTTTTCTGGTCAACTACTGAATCAAATTAGCTTTTTCTTTTCTCCAAGCGAAACTCACATTTTGCAGTTCTCTTTTTCTTGTGCTTTTTTTTCTTGTGATTTTTGTTATTAATTATTCTCTTTATATTTTTTGTGAACTTCTAACATCAGTGATCATCTGTGTGCATAAAATTTTCTCATTAATCAAAAGAATCTTGATCAAATTTTAGATTTTCTATTTCACCAAATCTACTAAACAAAATAACATTGAAAAGCTATTGATTCTCTCAAATTTTAGCTTTTTCTTTCGTTTTCTTCTGTTTACTTTTATTTTCCTCCAGTGTTAATCTTGGATCTTAATCAAACATTCAATTATTGATCTTTGATAGTTCTATTTTCATCTGTATCATTTTTATCTTCTTCATTATCATCCTTCATCATTGTTCAATAATTTTCTTGTGTTCATCAAATGGCTAAAAGTGAGTTTCTTTTGTGAAAAAGCTTTTTTTGATTCAAATCTCAATCATATTGACAAAACATATTTTCTAACTTTCTACTGATTTTTTAATTGTCAGAATCAGGATCTCAATTTATCAATAAAACAACTTCAAGGATAATCAATGGATCTATTCAAAAGAAAATTAAACGAAAAATAATTCTAAAGGAAAAAGATTTTAAAATGTATATCCAAGAAACAAGTGTAAAGAAAATCAAAGATCAACCATTGAAGGAAATTTTTCAAGCCAATTGTTTATATGAGAAATTTAAAAATTCAACCGAAGATTCGTCAATAGAAGTAGAGATCATGGATTACTCGCAAGAAATTAAGCCAATGGAATCACCATGATCATTGAAAATACAATCCAATGAGATCAAAGAATTTAGAAACTATTTTGTTCACCTTTTATAAGCAATTCGATACTTCCATATTTTATACATCATTTACTGAAAATTTATCAATGTTATCTATTCCAAATTCTATTCTATTCCAAATTCTATTCAATCAGTTATGATCTCTGTAATCAGATCATATCATTTTATACAGTAGAAATATGAAATTCCAAGTTCTTGAAAAAATTATTTTCAACATTAAAATGTTTTGTCTTTGAATCCAGCGCTAAATGTTGTGATCTTTTTTTCAATTTTCAACCCGCGAACTTAGAAAAATAATTATGAGAATCTTTAAATTTCAAAATTTCTTAGACTCAATTTAGACAAAATTTTGAATCTTTTTGACTCTTTTATTCAAAATCATTTTGACAGATTTTGAGTCAATCATTGACTCAAAAAAGAGTCAAAATTTTGCCTTTTTCGTTCAAAAAATTTCTATATGTTGATTGGGCAGAATCACTTAAATTTCAAGTTGACCTCACAAATGAATTTGTTAATACACCTCGGAAGATAACAGCACAATCAACTTCTTAAAATTCATTCTATCACAAAAAAAGCTGATATTATCAACGATAACCAAGAGGAAACTCAATTATCACCAAGAGACTAATTTATAATGAATAAACTGATCTCTTGATTGTCTCAAGATACCTGATTGTTTATTAACCAAATGAACTGTAATTAAGTCTCAAGCTAAAAACGTAAGTGTGAACGAAGGTGAATTACCTCCCATGGTCTCTTTTTCTTAATCAGAATAACATTCTACTTGGATGACTCTTTTGTCATATTCATATTCTAGTTGATCTTTTGTTATATCAACTATTTAAACTGATAATCGATCCTCAGATTCAGTGAGAAAATGCAAAAAAAGTTCATCAGAGGAAAATTACTTCTAAATGGTTGGAACAACAAAAACAACAACAATCTAAGAATTGAGCCAACAACAAATTCAGAGGGAGAGATAGAGATAAAAGTATTCATCGGTGCGAATGAACAGAAAAAGTTCTCGAATTTTTTTTCAACCTTCCTGGAAAAGATTCACCTCAATATAATGGTTATCATGCACTCGATTCCATTGTTTTCGCCTATTGTAATTTCATTATTATCATCTAACAAAAACAATGCTCCAGTTTCTGTAACAATATACATGGAGCTTGATGTAAATGCTCAGGATGGTAAATGAAATCATCATTTCCATTTGAATCATCATATTTCATGATAACCTCATTACCTTTGGTGATAAAACAAGGATAATAATCTTGATAGACTTAAAATTTGAAACAACTTTCCTAGTTTAATCTATGTAACAGTTTATTAAAAGTGTTTAGTTCATTTTGAGCAAAAAAAGTTCTGTGGGTATTCATGCAAACGTATAACAAGAATAGGCTCAAATTTAACACCGATTGAGAATTGTATAAGTTGAAACCCACATGAAATTTTAGGATGATAAAATGAGTAAACCAGATACTCTAAGTTGAAATGTTCAATTTTAATATTATCATGTTTCATGGTGGTGCATCAGACGAGGCAAAGTTCAAAAAATATTTCATGTTACTCTTGTGAGTTCATGGTGAAAATTTCTGTCTTGTCTCAATTTTGAGTTCTAATTGAGCATTGATTGAAATTTCACAATAAGATTTATTTGTTCATATTGTTACTGATAATAATTCACTTATATTCAAATGTATTAATATAAATTTTCGTTCAGAATATTTATCTTTCCAAAATTTTATCTGGTCGCTGTTTAACTGAGTCAATATCATGATTCTAGCTGATCAATGAATTTTACTCAGCTGATTAGATTCAGGGGATAGTTGAAGATTTTTTCACAGAAACTAAACTGAGTAATTGAAGAGGAATTGATAAATTGATTGAAATTAATATCAAAACATATCATGTAAACATTGTATTACATTCTCAGTATCAATTGATCATCGATTCCATCATCATGTTGAAATCTTTTGAAAAAAAATTTCTATGAGAATAAACCGAAAGAAGAGAATTTTTTCCAAATTTTTCATTTTCTACCCATTATAAGATGGAATTTTTTTATTCTTCTACTGATATTGTTATCTATTTTTCTCCTCAAAGATACAAACCAAATAACCTCAAGAGAAAACCCAACCCAATACCCACAAGGAATTATCAGAACTTTTGAGAAAGAATGTCAATGATAAATATCAATACAATTTTCGGGTAAAATTTTTCGATTCCAAGAAATTTGATCAAAGACGACAAACTAATAAATCTAAGGATAATAATGACTTTATGATGAGTATTCAATATATCATGGAAATGATAACATCTCAAGGTTTGTTCAAGTTAAAATAATAATCTTTTTTTTATTATCAGAATTCTGGGAATACCTTTTAAAGAGAAAGGTGAGAAATGGAGATTACGAAAATGAAACTAGTATTATAATCAGCAAAGTGAAGACCAATGTCCAGTCAAAGAGAAAACATTATCTCCTTCACAGAAGATTTTCCTTCGAGTGTTGAAGCCTTTGAGAAACATTGATTCTCATATGAAAGTAATATCGAAAGCTCCTGATAGTTTCACTTTCACCCTAATCATCAGAATCGCAAATCATTGGGATCAGAACTTTTTTCTTCTTATTTTCGATTCTGCAAACAATCATCTATTACAATTCTCAATACACATTAGACCTTGAAAATCAAACAAAACTCTTGGAGTTTCTTTACAAAAATTGATCATTGTTCCAATATGATCATCATCATGTTGGTCATTCTTTTAGAGTCTCCTGTTCATTTTTATTTGAGAATTTTCAGTTTATTCTTAGAATTCCAGATAAAGGAAAGAATTTCCAATTCTGGGAAATAATTGCTTCTTTTCCTCTTCTTCAAGCTTGTTATTCAATTGAAGAAAACAAAATAGAAAGATTGAAATCTAACTAAGAATCATCTTCATCTTCTTAAAGTTCATGGTAATATATTCAACATTCTGTAAGATAATTCAATTGAATATATACTGAGTAAATTATCTAGGAGGTAACTAATATCCTCGCCCAAGTTAATTAACATTTAATTTGCAAGTTAATTTGGATAACTAATTGTTATCATCAATTTCACTTTCACATTATAATAATACAATCGTAATAGAAACACAAACAAGAGCAACATGTTGATTAATAAGTTGAACACAAAGTTATAGATTAAAGATTGAATATCTTATATCACTGAACTTTTATCATGAAATGATAAATTTCATAGGTGGATCATTCATCTATCATCTTGTTATTAATCATGTTAATCTATTAACCCAGAAACTGTTTGTCTCTTTTTGGTGGCTGAGAAAAATGTAAATCATTCCCAGTGAATTGTAAAATCTTGGTTTACATTCAATGAGTTGAGATTCAATTCCTACTCGTGACCAGAATATTCATCAGATTATTACCATCATCATGATGGATATGATTGAGTAAACAGTTAAAACCTCATCGAGATGATTTTTCTTTTTTTCATATTCAATCAAAATATTTGAACAAACAGAGAGATGATTAATTTTCATGATAAAATAACAAAATGATTGTAGTTGATGATATTCAGTATCATCATGACGAATTGAATTTGATTCATTGAATCATATGAATTGGCAAGAAAAAGGAAAAGTAAATTTCTCAATTGAAACAGAATTTTCATTTAAACAACTGAACGATTTAGTTAATTGTAAGGTATTAATAGAATCCACTTACCGCAGTTAATAGTGATGGAAGACTTTCCGGTTTAGTGTCAACAATTAACGAGTAGATGTTGCGATTCTTAATATCCCTCAGGGTTTCCCTGAATATCTTTGGTTCAGTTTTTCGGAAAACGAATTGAACATTTTTGGGTAATGGAGGCTTGACCAATTCTTGAAGTCCAATGAGCGCTAATTTGTGCCAAGAGACAGAAAAGAAAGATGAAAACAATGAATATCAAATGAACTTTTATCGAATTTGTAGGGAAAAATTTGACAGTTTGCAGAATGAATCAGGGGAAAAAAGTTCAACTGAGAATTGATAATTTTTTGCAAGTTCATGATAAATGTAAATGTTCATGTAAATTTCCTGGTTTGCAAGTAGAACAGAAAACGCAATGAATTTCAGAGCATCAACAGATTAAGAGATATACTTTTCTCCACCTTGATTCAGGGTGAAAATAGAAGGCGAAAAATTTACACCATGAGAATTGCCTTTGGGAATTTGCAGCATTTTCGAAATCAACATTTATCCAGATATCAAACCAATACATCAAGATTTACCTTTACATTGTTGTTGTTTATTGAAATATTTTCTTTCTTCCAGATCGATATGATACCTTTACCATTTAAATGAATTCCCAGAGTTGATTTATCTTTGGTTCCATAGGGAAAAGAGGATTGGCAATAGATATCATGGAGTTGAGTTTTCAAAATGTTCATGTTATATTATCAGTTTTATGAAGAAACTGTGTTTGTTTTCATTTTCCGCTGAACTTTTATTCTTGTTTCATGAGAAATTATCGGGAGCATTATCATTACTATTAATCTGAGAGATACTTTAAGCTGAACATGACAAATTCATGATAACCATGAATCATGTAAAACAAAAAGTTGATAGAAAGAAATGTATATATAAAAAAAGAGGAGAAAATCATTTTCTCCACCACCATGAACATGTAACAATACAGAATATGCATAATATGTTGTTGCAATTGCAAAAAAACATTCTCTCTCAAATATTCCAATGTTTTCTCAACCTTTATTAACCTGTAATCATTCACTCAATAATATGAGTAATATATGAAAATCCAAAGAACAATAATCTTCCATGATAAATATCTCTCAACATGGAAATTATCTGATTAAAGAAAGAAAGAAAGAGAGCGAGAGAGAGAGAGAGAGAGAGAGAGAGAGAGAGAGGATGAAATTTCATGAAGACAATGATTGTTACTATTATGTTGGTATGTTAATTTCATGAGGGCCAAAAATTTCACTCTCACTTTAACTTGTGAAATTATTAACATCAAGTAACACATATTATCTGATGGCTCATGGAAATGTTTCTAGAATAAGTTGAATCTGAGAGCCATGAGCTTATTCCAACATTTCCTATGTCCATTTATTTATCATCTTCATACATATTAATAATCAAGTTATCATCATTCCATGTGACATATTATTTTCATCATCAACATGATGATAAACTGAATGAAACTTTTCAACAGCTTCAACCATTTGTGTTCCTTATCATTTTCATGGATCCTTGAATTCAATTGCATGATTACTTCTTGACGAAAGAAAAAAAAACTGACCAAAAGGATAAGTAATACCTAAAGAATATCAACAGAAAAATGTTACATGGTAAATTCATGGAAATTCAACATTTTTCTTGCAATTTCAACAAAAATAATATTCATTTATGCTTCATGAGAGATTATCTGTTATTATAATTAACCTTTTCCTTTTCCTCTTAATCATCATAATGTTTCATTCTGATCATCATGAGTAATTTCATTCTTTTTTACTTTCAACCATCTTAGTGACACTTTTAGAAATTTAAGTTGAACTCTTTTTCCTTTTCAGAAATTTTCCTTCTCATGATAATTCCGGTTGTTTGACCTGCTACTTTATTCACTATTCATCATGTAAACTTATCTTCGGAAAAGTGATTATTCCAAATCCCTGAAAAAAAGAGATACTTATAGTATATAAAGCATTTCTTTTTCTCTTATTATAATAACCATGGGATAGAAATCGGAGAATCACAGAATCCATGGAATCCATTCTATCCAATGGTTAACCTGTTAAATGGTTCATTTGAGTTTCCATTCGCATCATTCATCTGATGCAAATCTTTCAGCTTACTCATCATCTCACTTATTTCCTCTTTACTCTCTCACATCTATTTTCATCCTTCTTATCATCATCTACCTGGTTTCATCTTCCACTTTTATCATTTGCTACTTTATCTCTTTGCTTGATATTAAGATTATTTAAGATAATGAAGATGAGGAAGAAGAATGTTCCATTCCTGATAAAATGAAACCAGTCAAACTGATGACAGCTCCTGAAGAAGAAGATGATGATGATGATGATAGAGAAAAGGATGAAATTCATAGATGATCCCGAGTAACCGGATAGATGGATTTTCAGATTGCACGTCAATCTCAATAAATTTTTTCTCTTCTATTTTTTTCTCCTTCTGAACAAATTCTGTTTCTTGTTCAGATTATTCTGCATACAAGCATATTCTTTTGTCACGTCAGGAATAATTTTCATATATAATAACAGGGAGATTCTTTCAGAGGATCAAGAAAAAATGGTGGATACACTTGACACCTTCATGAGAAACTTTCACCTTATCATCACATGATAAATATGAAACTGAATCAAGAATCGCAAAGAAAAACCAAACAGGAGAAAGAGAGAGAGAGAGAGATGAATATGAACCGAGAAAAGTTTTAAATTCATGGTTGAATTCATGCTGGAAAAACTGACCACTGAATTTACTTTCATACATACTGATTCTGACTCTTTTTGGGTTAATAACTCAATATGAATATCATGTAATCAATATTTGAACAGAAGAAAATTCAATTTTGAATTTATCGAGAAACAAATAACCCGATTCATGATATAACTCACTTCTAATTCTGGACATTTAGTCAAATTCTGAATATAATTCTTATAACCAATTTAATATCAATGCTAGAATAAGATGAAATTATTTCCCTGAAACTGATGAATATAAATCAACTGGATCGTGGAATCGGATGAAAATGAATCACAATCTGAATGGTGAGTATTCAATGGTATTAGATGGAAAAAAGTGATTTCCTTTCATCTTCCAATGAAGCATCATCTTATTTCATCTTCATTTTTCTCACAATTATTATCTTCCATCGCCTTTGTTTCCATATTAATAAAAAGAAAAGGATGAGGAGGTGGTGAATGGATGGTGTTAGTGGTTGGAGAAAAAATTTAATAGAAAAGAAAAGAAAAAAATGAAAGAGCTAAAAAAAAGTCAAGAATGAGAAGGATAAAAAATAGAAGATGAAACTTCCTCTTCCGATACTGATACACTACCGATTCTCGGGTGACAATAATAAGGAAGCATGAGAATAAAGAAAAAGAGATACTCATGGATCTTCAATCTGAGTAAATTCTGGTCAGAATACTGATGAGAGGAAGAGGGTGTGAGTATCTGACTAAGACAGATTTTCCTCCTTCCTCCCTGAACATTCAATAATATTGTTTGTTTGTTTGCTGTTGAAAGAGTTAACACCCAGTTCGAGTTTTTTTTTCTTTTCTGATGTTACTCTTCAATAAGATTGAGCACTGGGATTGGATTGATGCCCAGATCATGATGATGATCAGACAAAAAGAAAATGAAAGTAAAAGAATGAGAGAGAGAGAGAGAGAACGAAACTAGAGTTCATCTTATAACATAAACTATTCAGTTCATACATCCAATTGATAGACAACACCAACAACAGTTTATTCAATTCTTTTCGTCTTCTGAGCTTTTTCATAATCATCTCTTCATCTTATGTATTCATCTTCATGTTTATTCACTTTAGTGTCTCTCTCCCTCTATCATCTCACTACCACCCACTCTCACCACCTCATTTCAATCTTTTTTCCCATGTAACTCTGTTTCTCATGTTATTGACAATATTGTTGCTCTGTCTTTGTGCATTATATTGTAAGGATGATGAAGATGGAAAGAGAAATAAAAAGAAAAGTTGATAAGTTAATGCTAGAGAGATGATTATCATCGCCATGATACTGAAAAGATCAACTCATCATAGAATTCAATTCATCTGAATGTTATCCAAAGTATTCATCAAATCAAACATCATGAAAACAAATGAAATAATATCAATGAGAAATCAACTGGAATTCATATAAATGTTCAACGTTTCATGATACTTTTTCCTCCATTTTCTTGAATCATATTACATTTATCAGTTGCAAGAGATTAAATGATTGAAATAAGAATCAATGGTTAACTTACACATATCATCTTCGTAAAGAACTGCAACTTTGGTCCAATTAAGGTAGATTATTAAATCTCTCAGGGAATCGGACATCGCTGCTGAACCAGGATGGAGGTTGATTGAAAACTCTTTACTGTGTCCAGCCTCACCCAGATTCTGTAGACGAGCCTCCATATGAGGTATATCGAGAGCATCACAAAGTGACTGGACATGAATGCCCAGTAAAGGATCTTGAGGACCAAATATTGATATTACTCCAGAAGTAATTTGGAAACAAGCTGAGAGATTAAGAGAGAGAAAAATTTGCAAGGATTAGATTATCGATTATTTATTTAATCCGTTGTAATGAATTTCTAAATTTCACCATAAAAATACAGAAAATCTTCTTCAATCTTTCAATCTTCTTTGCCAGAGTATTGAAATTTTCATGAACTTTTTGTTGGAAAACAAATGAAACTTGGTTAGTTTAAGAAAATTTTTATAACCAATTGAAAGTCAATTGTTATTGTTTACAACCAAGGTAATAATGATAATAAGCAACGCAAGGTAAAAGTTCATGTATTGTAAATCGTTAAGTGTCTAAACTGATATTTATTATCATCGAGATAATAATAATCATCATGATAACTATATATTGGAAGGACATTGTGATGGTTCAACAATGTCTTTGCCATGATGATAAACCTGAAGATATGAAGCCATTTATCATGATAATAACTCTTTCATTATTTTTCTTCTATTGAGAGTTTTCATCTTTGATCAAGAGAAATAAGATGATCAAGATGAAAAGGTAACGGAAAAGATGAGAAAGAAAAGAAAAATGAGAAAACCCTTTTATTGGACTCATCATATCATAAAAGAGAAGAAAAAACCTGATGAAGATGCGAGAGAAGGAGAAAGAGAGAGAGAGAGAGAGAGAGAGAGCTATCATCTTCTTCATCATTATCTCTACCATCTTCATCCTAAATTCTCATCAAGATCGATATCGATTCTTGATTCTTACGATTCTCTCTTGATGAGGATTTATTATCTCAATCGTTTCTTGCTTTTATCCCCTTCACCTACAAGAATAATTTTCTATTTGAAAGAAAAAACCTCTTCATCACCTTTCTACTTCCTTTTCCGTAATCACATCAAGTAAAAACTTTCGAGATATTTGATGTTACCATGACAAAGAGAAAAAAAACTAAATTTCACCTTTGGAATCGGGATTCTCATGGTTACGATTTTTTGTCTTTTCAATAGAACCAATAATGAGACAGGAAAAAAAATCACCGAACTATTTTTTTGCTAATACAAAACATAATCATTCCTTGATTCTAATTCCTTCCTAATCTCTTTCTCAGAACCATAATCATCTTTTTTTCGTTCATCTATGCACAGATTCTTAATTCAATCCAATATTTTCTTCTTTCTTATCATCATTAGTCTCCCATGTGAATTTAAGGAAACTTACAATTCTCAATCAACCAGAACAGAATCCGAAAATCTTCATGTAGCATAACAGTAAATTCTCAATAATTATCATTGTTTTCATAATAAAAGAGAAACAAAATTCGATTCCACCCACACTCTATTTCTAATCATAATTGTCATAATATAATTACAATTTTAAGATAAGTTCAGGATCAACTTGGAATTAGGAAAAAAAGTTCATCATATCGTTGGAGCAAAGGGAATGAAAAAAAAAATAAGTTCGATATGAGTTCGAACAGAATTTGTAATTTGTAAGATTGACTATTAATCAAAATAAGTAATTGAAAGATAATCATGGTAATCGAATCAGTCTTGTTAAGGTATCTTGGTGATTAGATCAGCAAGAAATAATTTATTACAATAACAATCAACAGGTTGATTTAATTAACGAAATACATATTAGTTAATATGAGTTAATGTCATTTACTAATTGTGATTAGTGTCAATTACTATTAGTATTTATTCATCATCACAACAATTTATCTCCATGAAAAGGATAGAAAATATTTTATTCCCATTTAGGAAAAAGAGCATTTCGATTCCAATGGGAATCGTTCTAGAACTTGATATCTTCAAAGGAGTATTAGAACTTATCGAACTTGTAATGTGAGGGGAGAGAAAAAAAATTCTAATTCATCACAATGATTCTTAATTGATTGTAATGATAACCAAGACTAATTGTTAACACTTCTTGTCTTTTTGTTCAGCGATTCATCAATTAATTTCAATCTATTCATCACATTCAAAGTTAATTCATTTAATCTCATTACAATTAATTATATTTTCTGATTCAAACTCCCTTTTCCCACCCAGACTATTTGCTTCTTGTTTTTGTTTACTTACCTTAAGACTAATCATCATCATCATCATCATCATCATCATTGTCATCATTATCATCAGAATCATCATTAAGAATCATTATCAGAACTTTTAGAAATAAAAGTTTTCCCGAACTTTTTTCTCTCTCTCTCTCTCTTTTCATGATAAATACACTCATCGAATCCTCTGAATGCCCATTGAATTAATTCCTAGATTCTCATTTGTTATTTATTCTCATTAATCATCTATTTTTCTAATCATTTATTTTACATTTCCACTGATTGTGATTAATTGTTGATCAAATTAATGATCTTTATTTTCATCTCTTTTGTATTTAATGTTTTAACCATTAGTACAGAATGAGACACTAAATACTGATCATAATCATCATCATATCAATTCTAATTGTTGCAATTAATTTGGTTTTGTTAAAAGTTAATTCACTTATTAAATTTGGTCCAAGAGAAAAAAAAACTTTCCATTAACAATTAGACTTTGTAATAGCTTATTATTGACCATTGATTGTTTTTATTTCTTTAGCTTTGGTCATTTTCATGTTGATTGATTTTTCAAATTAAACCTCAACAAACTGACCAATAACCTTTAACAACAATCAATTAATAATAAAATACAATTGAACGCACATAACAATTCAATTAATTCAACTTGAATGATAAATAATCACATTTCATCTTATCTATCAACAATTTAACTCAACTGTTTACCTTAATCATTATCATCGTTATCATGGTCAGTATATCATGTTTATCATTGTTTTCATTAGGAAAAGTGACCAGTAAGCAATTTCATCGTTTGATCAACCATAAAGAAAAATAGAATCGAAATGAAGAGAAGGAAAAAAAACTATTCTACAAAATCCGAGTTCAGAACTTTTTTCCTTCTCTTTGTTGAACAAATATTTATGGTGAAATTTCAGAGATTCTCGTGATTAATCAGCTTACCTTTTTTGGAGGCATGAAAACTATCATCATGAGGTACATATTGTATATCATAGACTAAAGTTGTATTGGGCAGTATATTTGGATCCCTATTGACCCGATAAACAGCATATTTGAATGCTAATTCAGTTTGTGAATCTTTTTCCTCCTTGGTGAATAAAGCACCTTGAAAGATGAGAGTGGAAATTGAATTGAGAAAAGTTCATTCAGATTCAATGGTCAAGACAATCTATTTACGTGTTTACTATTAATACGAATCATTGTTATCAACTTACCAATTTTCACTGCTGTTGGAATAGATTGAGCTTGATTAGACTGAATCAAAAGATTCCATGATGAAACAATTAACAAAATTAAGAAAACATTGTAAACAATTTGTGTTGTATTGGCACTTTCCATAGCCTTTGGATTTAACTTGAACAATTCACTAATTTAGATGTTGATTGTGTTGATGTAACAAATACACTACGTTAATTATTGAAATTAAATTACGATTACACTACTACAGTTAATTTATTATGTTTGCTGTAAGCTTTAAAAGTAACGATACAATTAATCTTAATGGAGACAATTAAAAGATGATCAATATAACCTTTGTTTTGTTAATTCGATTATGCTGATTGGTCTGTTGATGATTAAGTTGATGATTAGATAAACTATTTGATTGTTAAGGACACAAGGTAATTAGATTTGGATTATATTCCGTTGGTTTAGACTAATCTTTACGATGATATCTTGAAATTTGGAAAATGGTGAATTGTTAAATTGTTGACGAAACCAAATTAAGATTTAACTTGATTATCACAATGTCAACTTGCAACAAGCTGGTTGATTCTAATTGAACAGATTAAGATAGGATTAATCCAGTTAAATAAGATTGAATTGAAAAAACTATTCCAATTATTTATAATTGTTTTGATTATTAAGGTGATAATGATTGTGAAGATAACAATTATGACGATGTTGATGATGTTGATGATGTTGATGATGGTGAAAATGATGATAATATAAAAGAAAGGTATTTGATTTTAATGATTAAATTGCTGTTGTTGTTTCCATTACTGATTAATATGATCCACAACAATCAAACTTTTTTCCTCTCTCTTGGTGTTGATGTTTCACTTGTTATATTATCATTCAACGTACTAACTCAATGCTACAGTAAATGAAGATCAGTAGAGATGATGATATTGAGAGAGAGAAAGAGAAAGAGAAAGAGAAAGAGAAGAGAGAGAGAGAGAGAGAGAGGAAATAAAGGGAGAAAGTTAGATTTGATCATGTTAAGAATAAGAGATTGTCATGTGCAAGAACTTTTATCCATTTTCTAAATTCCCGCGCATAAGAACAAATTTCCAATTTCTCTTTATTATTTTCTTTCTTTCTACTAAATCGATATTTTCTTATTATCATTATTCCAAATATTATTTATATCATTGAAATTTATCTATTTTATTTCCAGTTTTGATTTTTTAAACTCTTTTTCTTATTCACAGAAATAGAATAGAAATATTCTCTTTTCTCATTACCAATCTGAACTTGAAATTCTCAGTCAAATATCATCGTAACTAAATAGTTTTTTAAAATAAGATCATAAGTTCGAAAGGAAAATTCGCCTCAATAACTCTCGAATTCGTAACCCCTAATATTTAGTTGTTGCGATCTATTGATGTTGCTAATCAACGTGGCGACATCTCTAGTTATCCAGAGCATCTAAAAGATTCATTATTTTGTCTTTTTAACCTTTGTGACTAACTGAATCGTCCGAAAACTTCTATCGTACGAGCTGATAAGCTAAGAATAGACTCAAACTACCAGCTCATATTCATCTACTCCGTCCTCATATTTTCAAATGTTTAACACTCTGGGCGAAGATAATCAATGAATCATAAATGACTTAATAAAAAAAACTGACAATTTTATCGAGCTAAAATTGTGTTGATCGGATTGTCTTAGCAGCTTCGAGCCGTTTCTCACTATTAACTACCCTTGTTCAGTTAATACAATCATGTAAAAACTAAACGAATTTCGATATTTATTCGTCTAGATGAGTCTTTTCTATTGTGAATAAAAATTTCGATTCGAATGATCAGTTATAAGAGTTGATTGTCTCCAAGGAAAATAGAACAGATCATTGCCTATGCTAGAGGAGAGTAGAAAAAAATCATTCCATTTCATTAATATGTCAAGAGATCGACAGATTTGATGATTAAATCAATTCGAATCCTGAAAATTTAGAGTCTCAAGGATTGTGAGCCTTTAACAAAACACTTTCGCTTGAAGAGAAATTGAGATTATAATATTCTTGTAATATTTATAATCCGGAATATCATAAAGTGTTTTTGCATTATGATTGTTTTTAGTTATGGAAGAAAATTAGTGAGCTCGAGATATTTCATAGAAAAAGTGATAGTGATAATGTTCATTATCAAAACAGAACAATTGAAGGCGCCTCGTGTCCTGATAATAAAGAATAATTCGAGCCAATGAATAACCTCGAATGAATAAAGTGCTAAAAGATTTTCGAAAGGAGCATGAATTTTCTTACATAAAATGATAGTAAATAATCACTGAAAAGAGATGGAACTGAAGAAATTGTGGTGAAAGAGTAAGATCAATTTCATTAATATAAATAATATTTGGAATAATGATAATAAGAAAATATCGATTTAGTAGAAAGAAAGAAAATAATAAAGAGAAATTGGAAATTTGTTCTTATGCGCGGGAATTTAGAAAATGGATAAAAGTTCTTGCACATGACAATCTCTTATTCTTAACATGATCAAATCTCACTTTCTCCCTTTATTTCCTCTCTCTCTCTCTCTCTCTCTCTCTCTCTCTCTTTCTCTCTCTTCTCTTTCTCTTTCTCTTTCTCTCTCTCTCAATATCATCATCTCTACTGATCTTCATTTACTGTAGCATTGAGTTAGTACGTTGAATGATAATATAACAAGTGAAACATCAACACCAAGAGAGAGGAAAAAAGTTTGATTGTTGTGGATCATATTAATCAGTAATGGAAACAACAACAGCAATTTAATCATTAAAATCAAATACCTTTCTTTTATATTATCATCATTTTCACCATCATCAACATCATCAACATCATCAACATCGTCATAATTGTTATCTTCACAATCATTATCACCTTAATAATCAAAACAATTATAAATAATTGGAATAGTTTTTCTTTTCTTTTTTCAATTCAATCTTATTTAACTGGATTAATTACTTTTAAGTAACGACTTTTGATTCAAATTTTTCTCGCGATCCGCTAAGTTAAATACATCTATTATCAGATAAGTAATCTAAATCTTTAATCCAGTTTAGGTTATTAATCCTCATTGGATTATGATTTTCATGTTTTAGTCAATAAATACCAATCAACCTTCAAATAATCAACATAATTTGTGTTAATCAACATCATTATCATCAACATCAAAATACTTGCAACATCATTTAGTTGCTTCATTGTTGCGTTAATGTTAACAATTATGTTAACTGTTAATCAATTAAGTATTTAATTAATGTATTCTGTTATTAATTACTTATCTTGTTAACTTTTTGTTATACTTTTGTTTATACAATCGTTGAAATTGTTTAACTAATTAAATCAGTGTTAATTGTTAAGTTAATCCGGATAGGCCATGGAAAGTGCCAGTATTACAATTGTTTACAATGTTATCATAATTTTTTTAATTTCCTCCTCATGGAATCAATTAGTTCAATCAAATCAAGCTCAATCAATTGTGACATCAACAATTAGAATAGGTAATTAAATCAAATCAATATTAATTGTTGAAAAAAGTTCAATAACCAAAACTCAAAGTGTCCTTTTTAACATTTGTTCAATTACAAATGAATCTAATCTTGTTGTACTCTCTTGGTGTAGATGCATTTTTCCAATCTCATTCCCTGTTATTAATACTTTTGATAGTAAATAATTATCCACCGTTGATCAATTGTTTGACCACAAGTCGCCACACCGTAGCCGCAATACCGGGTGATCTTGTTTTGGGTGCATTGTTTCCCGTTCATCATGCGCCCGGGGCTAAACAGGCTCAGTTCAGATTATGTGGTGACATTCGTGAACAATATGGAATCCAAAGGATAGAAGCAGCATTTCAAACGATTGATAAAATTAATGCTGACAAAGAGATTCTACCAAATATTACACTTGGAATTGAGATTCGTGATTCTTGCTGGTACTCGCCGATAGCACTTGAACAATCAATTGAATTTATACGAGATGCAATGGCTGCTTCTGATGAAAGAAGTGATACAGATAAAAGTGATCCATCATCTTCTTCATCATCTTCATCACCAACATCTTTCCTTCCAGAATCCGTTCCCATATCGCATTCGCCTTTATTTCCCATGCTCAATGCGCCCTTTCATTTGGGTTCTCGTTTCAATGCATCTTACATGTGTCCTAAGCAAGTGAAAAAGGTCAAGAATCTAGTCGGTGTTATCGGACCAGCATCAAGTTCAGTTACAATTCAGGTAAATAAACAACATGACAAATTCCAAGCCTAAAGTAAACAATATCTAAATCCACTTAGCAATCAATGTAATAAGAAAATAACATGAGCTCATGGAAACGAGACAAATGAAATCACTCTGAGTGAAAGTAACAAAATCCATCTATTAATTAATCAAATGACCAGAAGTGGACAACAGATTGATCCACATTCATCCCCATGAAGTGATATCAACATGAAAAATCATCATCGTGTCAATCAACCAATTTAGTTCTTTCAAATTGATTTATATTTAATCAGAAACAATCTTGATTCTTAATCAATTCCAATAATGAGACTTTTTCATTTCACATTTCTTTCATCTGAATCAATTGAATGAACAATCAGTTTTGATGAGTTAATTAGTTGTATACAAATGATTCCTCATGATGGCAAAATAATTAATGAATTTATGCTTTGATTACTATTTTTTATTTTTCTCCAACCGGTAATCACCATGATAACGATAACAAGTAATGTATTTCAAATCTAAATCTAATTGAACACATTTTGTTTTTCCACTTTTTATCCATCACTATGAAAGGTTTTATTTCTGGATAATATCATCATCATGATCATCATGTTGAATCATTTGAGTTTCAAGTTGAAGATTTTCAATTGCAGGCTAACATGTTATATATATTGACATGGGCAGGAGTGGGAGGATGAAAAGAAAAGAGGAAGCAAAATTATTACTCATAATCTTACAAGCTGAATGCTACTTGGAACTATTATCATCCTCATTTAATTTATTACCATCATGAAATATCATGAAGAGAAAATGGAAAGAAAAAAAATTCTTTTTCTAGATTTAAGATATAAGATATCAGCTGACAGAACCTTGAGGGATAATAAAGTTCGTAAAGGTTGAAAACAATCATGTTATCATGTAGCCAATAATGATAACCAATTACTAATTGGCTATCAATATTTATCATCATCAAAATCCTCAGAATAGAAAACACATCAATAGGAAAAGAATGAGAAGAAAAATTTTCTTTTTCTCTTGCAAAACACAAAGATACTCTCTCTTTCTCTCTGAAGTATTGTAAATACCCACACAATCGTATTCATTGTTTCCCTGACACAATGTTGAATCATACTATCATCACCATCTTCATCATTTTCATCATTATTATTATGAATCTTCTGTCTGAATCAATGGTATGAATACATGGTGATAATCGATAACAGAAAAAGAAGAGAAAATAAAGAATTGAAGAACGGAAAAAAGAGAATACCAATAGAAAGAAAATTTTACTTATCAGATATTCCAGATGATTACTTCAACCTACGATAGAATTTCTTGTTCCTCTTCATCCTCCCTCCATCTCTTTGAATAGCTAATAAAATAATAATAATATTGATTCTGACAACAGATGAACAAGAATCACCATGAGCCTATGATGATAATGACAATAATATGATGAACAAAATGCTCATAGTAATTAAATTATGTTAGTTAACGATGTTACATTGAGGGAGGTTGATTCTTGATAATGGTTAAAGTAAATACATGGAACCCTTTGATAATTGTATGCGAATTATCATGAGAAAAAGGCAAGAAAATTCTGTGAATCTATTGTAACGAAATGTACTGAATTCTGAAATTAGTTTTTCTTTCTCATAGGAACATTTTTCTTAAACGATTTCTCTTCTTTTGTCAGATTTTTCTGATTAGGTTAATTGCTTTTTCGATTCTTTTTCTCTCTAATTATATTTGTCAATTATTGTTTCGATATTTCTGATAAGTTCTGTGAATTCATTGAGAATTTTCCTGTTGGAAAATAAAAATACTATGAATTCTAATTTCAATAACAGATGTTATTCTGATTCTGATTGTTTTGATTATTTTATCAGTTTTTGATTGAGAAATAAATTCCATGGAAAATTTTGAATGAATTCTGATCAACAGTTTTATCGTATTATTTTGTATTTTTTTTCACCACAACTCCAAGTGAAATGATCTCCCTTTTTCCTATTTAATAAGCTCAAAGTATAAATAACAATAATGATGATTATTATAATAAAAGGCTGAGTTAATGTTGGTCAATTCTGGATAATGGACAACCAGAATGTCCAGAAGTAAAAGAAAATGTCAGAAATGCCAAAAGAAAAGAAAAAGAAAACTTTCTTTTTTTCCTTTCACTGTCCAGTTTCTGAGCCTTTCCTTTTTTGAGGTCACTCCAACAAATCGATTCCCATAACCATGATAATATTTACTCTTATCATGATGAAATTGGAATTAGAATAATTCTTTTAATGAATATACATACAAATAGATTTTATGAATTGATAAAGATAACGTTAGCATAGGAATGAAATTTTCTTTAATTTTAACTCAACACTTTAAACTAATTGACATACAAACACTTGACTGTAGATGATTATAATCATGATAATGACAAACTCAATTTTCTCAATCAAATCCATCATCATATTAATACAATATAAAATCATCTTCATTTGATGAACAATTTTCATCTTCATCAGCATTTTGTTTTCTCATGTGTCACCTTTCTTGATATGTATTAAGTTAATTTGATTTCATGAACTTATAACAAGCATATTATCATGAGCATCTTGAGAATCACCTTATCAACATGATGATCATCCCTTTACACCAAACTTAAATGGTGAGATGAAGATAAGAATGAAGATGAACTACATCATCTCTTCATAAATCTCTCTCTCTCTCTCTCTCTCTCTCTCTCTGTTTCCAATATAATGGTACATGATTTCAGGGGAAGATGCGGAAAAAGCGAGAAGGAAAATCTTGTCTTCCATGTTTTCAATTTTCAGTACAACCTTTTCATACCTCTGAGCAATTTCATTATCAACATCCTCAGGATCATAAACATCATCAGTCTCACCTCAATCTCATCTTGTCTAAATCATCAACTCAGCTTAACTCATCATCTTTAGGCTCCTCTATCATCCAAATCATCTTTTTTTAATACAATGAACATGAGCCATGAAAAAAAAGACTGATAAGACAAAACCCACTGAATAAATCCATTCATATCAGAACTTTTTTATCTCATCTTCTCATGTAAATATATATGTAAATATGATAACAACATTGTTCCGTCTCACTCTCTTCCACCACCCACTCCGATAATATTATGTAATCAGAATTTTCATCACCATATTATTATTATTGCCATCATTAGATCAATGATAATAATGAGGGAAAGAGTTAAAAATCTAATCATGAAACTGAAGAATGAAGTTCTGAGCTCATGATTAATTTCAATTGTAAAGTAAAATAATTAACCAAAAATCAGATGAATAGACGAAGAGGAAGTGTGTGGGGAGAAGATGAATGTTAACATGAAAATGATCACCATGGAGCTAAAGTAATCAATTAATATCAATTAAAATTTTCGCTCCAATTGATAACCGAGAAAATGATGAATCTAATTCAGTTTTAATGAACATTTTTGCACAATCAACATTGTTAATTATTCATTCGGTTTAATATTTTTCATTTTATCCAAATTTTAATACGGAAAAAAGTTCATGATATTATTCAGGATGAAAGGAGGAGTAAACGTAGATAATGATTATTTAAATGAAAATGAATGTACATATCATGTTAATTAATATTTGAATAGTTAACTTTAAGAGTTTACTTTTACTAGGATAACAGTAATTACATGTTGATAGCCTCAGGGTGAACTTTAATGGTGATGATTATAACATTGAGAAAGCCATTGGATAGTTTGTATCTTTCGAGCTAGTTTAATATCTTATAAACTTCTAGTTGATTCCCAGAATTGGAATGTTATTATTTTACCAATGGAAATGTATTACAATAGATTCTGAATGTTTGGTGTATTTTTTACCGAGAGTAAATGAATAACTTGTCAAGTTGAAGAAGAAAAAAATTTAGAACAACAAATAGTAAGAGCGAAAATTTTCCCTTCCTGTCAGAATTGAGACTGAGAAAAAAGTTCTCAACAAAATTCTGATGATTATTTAGATTTTGATGATGATGATTATTATTATTATCTTCATCTCTCATCTGTAGTTGACATTCAAAATCAGTGACCTTAAAAAAAATGAGTCTGAATACAAATATGAAATTTTTGAATCAATCTTTGTGATATTCATCTCAACATATACACACAACATGTACCATGAAATGATCATGACAAGTTTATTATCTGAACCAAAGGAAATCATGATAAACTGTCAGATTAGTGATAATATTGTTGCAGTGAGTTTCATGATTCAAGAATTGAAATTATTATTTCCTCTGAGTTTCTGAACCTGATGATTATATTAATACATCCCAATATTAGCCTAACTGTGAGCTCGAGTTTTTTTTTTCTCATGAAAAAATTTCCACTTTGCTTTCATCAAACCAAAACCACTTTATGATTAAGATGGTGAATAATGATAGTTGATTAATAATTAATCACTAATTATTATTAATCTGATTACTATTAAGTAATGTTAATGAATCACAAGTAGTTACAGTTGAAATGGTTGTAAGATGATAAAGTGATGAGGATGAAACTGTTGATGATAGAGATTGATGTTGATTAGAAAAGATAAAAAAAGTGATTTTCCTTTTTACTCTCAACATAATTAACTAAAATATTAAATGGTAATGACAATAATTAAGAGCAAGTTGAATTGCTTGGAAAATGAACTGTTCAGAGTTTACATGATGTTTGTAGACGGAAAAAAGTTTCACCAGCATTTCATTTCTTTAATAAGATGATTTCATGTAAGAGTTTCATGTTTATTGTGATAATTAGAGAAAAAGAGATGAAGATAAATTGAATATGGAAAATGTTGATGGCAGTTTCCAAGAAAAAAGAATAGAACTTTTTTTTAGCTTTTTCCTATCTTCTTTTCACGAACTCAACCTTCTCTTGAACTTGATCATGGATGAAATGTTATCCTAAACCACCACTAGAACTTAAGATGAAATTAATTAAAACATCTCATCGATTACATGGGGAACAAGTT